CAAAGGGAAAAGTGTATTACCACCCACAAGTTAGGGCCACTAGCAAAGCTGGAATGATGTTCAGCTCCTGAACAGTTGTAGGAACTGATAACACAGAAGACACTGCCTGTGGCAGAGCAAATATGTATGTGTATGTGAGAAAGAGAGAAAAAGACTAAGTCCCTTCTCCAAGACCTCCAGTCTTCTGATTGAGTCTATCATTGGCCAGATTTACCTGGAAGCCAGTCAGTTGGCAAAGGAGCCTAGGAAATATCATTTCCTGAAGAATATATATGAGAGTAAATAAGCAAATGTTCACACCATTCATTGGCAAATAAAAAGTCAAAGGTTGGGTGTCAAGATGGCTTGGTGTGGTCGTGAGAGAAAGAGGATGTATACAGAGGTATCAGCATAAGCCAAAGCACCAGGATAAGAAACAGCATGAGATATGCACAGAATCTCAGTCAGTGTCACAAAGTTTCCAGTATGAGTCAGAGATTGATAGGAGCTGAATGTAGGCAGGCACCCAACATGAGGAACTTCGTGTGACTTAACAGAGCTGCTGGCCATTTTCCCTATAGGCAGTGGGAAAATCCTGAAAGGTTTTCAACAGGGAAGTGGCAAGCCCATATTTGTATTTTAGATCACTTGCCAGTTGTGTAGACTCCCAGAATGATTTTGAAGAAGCAAAAATCTAATTTCCCTTCGCCTTGTCCTTCTCAAATTCATTCAAGCAGGAAGCAATGAGAAGCAGCAGTAAGAAATGGAAAGAAGGATGGAAAGCATAAAAATGTAATTGACAGGATGACTGGATGTACAGGTGAGAGAGAGGGAGGATCTAGGGATGATACCCAAGTCTCTCACCTCAGCTGAGGCTGGTGGTTTCGCTAAGTAAGGTTAAGTTTGAGTTGAGAGCCTATGGGACATCAAGCAGAGACATCCAGAAGTGGATGGAATCTGTACACAGGTTATTAGTGGGTGAAAGAGAAGAGAAGTGGACCAAGACTTGACCATAAGGAGCAACAAAAATGTAAAGCCTTAAAAGAAAAAGAGAATATCAGACAGGTCCAGGTATGATTGGATTTAGTGGTAGAAGATGATCTTTTTCTAGATCATTTTCAGAAGAAGAAGTAGTAGAAACTAAATTGTGCTGGGTTAGGAAGTAAAGGAAGACAAGAAAGTAGCAGTGGTAAATGTAGATGTGTCTTTTGAGAGTTTGGATAAGGTGAGAGAAAAGATGGGATGAGATCCGAAGTTGGGATGGGTTTTCATTTGCAGGGGGTTGGTAAGACTTGAGGATGTACATGGCCAGGTCCGAAAAATCAGAGATGAGTTTAGTCATTAGAGAATAGAGAAGTAGAGACCAAGGGGCTCAGGCTGGAGTCAGGCCTAGAGACACTTGGGGGAGTTTCCCACAACTGTTTGCCAAGGAACTGCACTTATGCTGCAAAGACAGTGCATTTAGAATTCCAGACTCGGCGAAGAACCCAGGTAGCACTTTCTGGCTTCAAGCAGAAAGCACCTCTATTACTGTGTGTGTGATTTTAGGAGATGAACAGTAGCAAAAACTAGCAGTTGTGTAGCACTCTGCCTCCTTCAAACTGGGCTCAGAGTTTCATTTGATTCCCCTGATTGTCTCATAGCTGTGTGTACACAAACTATATATATACATATATACACACACATACACAAACACAAACACATACACATATATAAATATAAGTGTATACATGCACACATAGGTCTACATATATTTTATTGTCTCTGAGAAACTGCTTGTTAGGAACCTGAGACACACAGCAAATAGGACTTGCCAAACCTTTCATAATTTATACATGATTTAACCCAGGTTTAACCCATGCGTGATTTAATCCATGGCTCGGGAGTCATAGGGCCATCTTTAACAGATTTTGTCATTCTGGTAGATTGGCCTGGAGTATGGCAAGTTTTTAGGCACTGTCCCCTTCACTTTACTTCCTGGTTCCCTAGACCTTTTAGCCTCAGAGAGTTTGGGGGCCCCTCCCTTGGATCCCCTAGTGTTCCAGGTAGTAAGTGGTTTTGTTGAGTACCATAGAGTCAGTTTTCCTATGATGGCAGCTCTTCCCATCCCAGCCTCCTATATTCTGGCACAAGGCTTCCCATATTCTGCCCACAAAACTTTCCTATCTGAGTCTCTTCCTTTCCACACCCAAGAAAAGGTGCCTCCAGAACCCCCATACTTGCAGAACTTTTCATCATGGCCCCATTCTCAAATTCTGTCGTCCTTCTCTACTACTAGATTTTCAATGTTTGAACCTAGTATATCCAGAAATCACCCATTTCTCCCCATTTCTACTCAAACCCATGCCACACAAACCTGGTGCGGCTCCTGACTCTGTCACGTACCGGCTGGAACTAACTGAGCAAGCGACTCAGCCTTAGTAAACCTAATGATACTTTGCTGAGTTATTGTGAGGATTTCAGGAGATAACTTATTTGAAGGATCCAGCTCAGTGCCAGGCTTAATAAATCTTAGCTCCCTTCACCCATCAGAGTGGCCTGGATCTCTTATCCACATTTCCCAGCACTTAGCACAGTAATATAATTAGCAACATTAGTATATCTAAAAGGCAATTACCGTTTAATTGCTCTGGCCCCAGCCAGCCTGAAGTTTCTCTCCATTTGCTTCTAATTTGGGATTAAGATTTTTAAATCCTACCCTGGCTAGTCACAAAATCATTGCCTTGGAGAGAATTGAAAATAGCTGTAGGCAGCCATTGATTATACAATAAAAGATTTGGTAATTCCTTCCATTTTGTTCTATATTAAAATGTATATATCAGTTTGCTCCTGGCCAGTGAACTAATCAGTTTCAAGTGGCATTTTTCTGAGAGTCAGTGAAGGATGCTTTTTGGTCAGACCAGCTCTGGTCTTAAGAAGGCAAGCACTCCTTCAGATGCTCACACTGATTTCATTAAAATAAATTAGTGCCCTTGTATAGATTCAGACTCAGAATCAAGTTTCAAGCATCCTTTCTTAGAAGACATTTATTATTTATATTACATACTCAATTTAAAGAAGCAAATGCACTTCCCTCAGCCTGCAAAGTTTGTTTATCTTAGAGCTACTGTGAGAATATAATCCCCAAATGAAGGCAGCGTGTTTTATTTCTCCTCCTCTGACTCAACGTTGCATAAAATAACAGCAGCCTCTAATCAAGAGGAACCCAATATACTTTGAGATTTCCAATCAAAATCTTTAATATTCGAAGGGCACATGTGCATTTGAGGAAACCTAGATTGCCTTAGGCCACACGGAAAGCATTTACATCTGAACCGCTTTACATATGATTGCGAGTTAAAGCAAATTCTAAATAACTTTTAGCAGTTTGAGATTTGGAAAACAGCCTGGCCCATATAAATTCTCCCTTAATACTTTTTCTGTTAAATCTTATGCCAAAGTAAATGGAAGCTGTAGGGAACCTTTGAACTCAGTTCTCAAAGGACTGTGGTGAAGTTAGATTGGCAGAGCCAACGTTAGGTTTTCAAAGGAAGATTTTCCTTTTGTTCCCCCTTGAAGTGTCCATGTCACAGTCACCTTCCTTGGTGGAGGATGCAGTCTTGCTTCCTGGACCGTCTTGACTCTGGACCATATATGTGCCTCTGAGAAATGGGCTTTCTACTATAACGAGCTTCTCAGTGGGACTCTTCAGGAACCTTGGGGTTGGCATCCAGGCTTCTTAGCTCCTTTGCTTCACAGTTCAGTCAGCTGCACTTTTCCTTTTCTCTTTCCAAAAGAGCTATTGAGTGCAAGAGCCCTGGGGTTCAATGCTACCTCTTCCTGCCAGTAGCTTCACTTTTCCAAGCTTCACTTTCCTTTTCTATGAACTGGAGATTAAAATTAGGGTGGTATATTTCAAAACAGCTAGAAGAGAAAAATTGTAATGTTCCCAACACTAAGAAAAATTAAATGTTTGAGTTGATGGATAGCCCAGTTACCCTGAATTGATCATTACACATAGTACACAGGTATCAAAATATTATATGTCCCCCCAAATATGTACAACTGTTATATATCAACAAAAAAATCTGTATCCTCAAAAAAATAGTATGGCCCACATGGATCCCACATTTCTCTGAACATTTTCCTCTTGTACTCACAGCTTGCAGTTCATTACATTGCATTATTTATTTTTATTGATAATGATTATTAAAATATAAATATATTTTATATTCATTATATTATATATGTATGTATGTAATATAATGTACTATATATGACATATATTGTACTGCCTCTAGAAGGCTGGGACAATGGCTTGTGCCCTATGTACCATTCTTAGAGTCCAGGCCATGCTGAGCACACAACTGCTTCTTAATAAACAACTACTGAATGCACTCTTATGAAGGTACCTCTTTATCCTTCTGTATCATAATTATAGACAGAAAGTATTATTCATCAGTCAAGCAAGCATGCAAAAATATTAACTTTGTTCCCCTCATATGTGCGGTTTCTCTAGTCTAGATATAACCCTGAAGGAAAAAATGGCACTTATTTTTTGCCCTTTTTATCCTAATTCAAAGGAACATATTACATGTTTGCTAATTGTTTGCAAAAAAAAGTTTAGATCAGCTTTTTTTGGTTTTGCAAAATATTTTTGTAATTAGTCCTCATATCATGCATATAGAAAGTCAGCATTATTTGGCATAAATTGTTACTATTTATGTAAATTTGAAAAATAGTATCACTTAGACAGTTTCTAAGTTTATCATGCCAAAATTGAATCTCAAACTAAAGTGGGCTATATGCTACCCGCTGTTTAGAGTTTTTCTTCACCGCTCTACAGAGTTACTTCAGGCTTGGGGCTGGGCCTGCTGGCTTATGCCTATAATCCTTGTGCCTTGGGAGGCTGAGGCAGGAGGATCACCTGAGACTAGAAGTTTGAGACCAGCCTGAGCAACATAGTGAAACCCTGTCTCTACAAAAAAACTTAAAAATTGGCTGAACATGATGACATGCTCCTGTAGTCCCAGTGACTTAGGAGACTGAAGTGAGAGGATCACTTGAGCCCAGGAGTTCAGGATTGCTTTCAGCTCTGATTAGATTTCTATTATCCAAACTTGGTAACAGACCAAGACCTTATCTCCAAAAAAAAAAATTACTTCAGGTGGTCATGGTGCCTCTGCTTACACACTGCCAGTTACAGGGGCTCACTACTGCTGGAAACAGCCTTTTTCCATTTCAAGCAAATCATCTTGAGCTGGTGTACAGAATGCTTGGAGATCTTTATGAAGTATAGAGGTATAAATAACCATATTTGTTACTGGCTTTGAAAGAGAAGGGAGAAGACAAATTGCCATTCAAAAACCTGCATGACTTGTATGTTATAATCACAAAGAAATTCTTCTCGTTGTGTTATTTGTTGGGTGTACCAATTATAAATCATTAAAGGGAGACTGAGAAAAGTCAACAGAAATCTGCAATCTGACATATGTGGAAAGGCAGTGACTGAGAACCAGTGGTTTTGGAATCAGTCCTACCTGGCATTGATTCCTATCACCATTAGTAGCTTTGAGCAATCCGCTTTACTGTCTGGTCTTCTATTTCCTCATCTGTGAAATGAGGGTAATATTAAGGATTAAATCAGATTAAAATTGTAAAACAAAACACCAACACAGGGTCTGGCTCAAGATGGTGTTAAATAAATAATAGCCAGCATTATTATTGTGTTATTTTTATTATGAGAACCAAAGGGGTTCCTATTTGACCGATAATGGATGTTTCTTAAAGAAGAAAACTGTATGAGGACTCTGAGTTTACTATCATAGTAGCCAATTAAGTGAAAGGGTGTTAATAGAAACAGCCCCCAGTCGTCACCTCCCCACAGTCGGGTTGTGTGGCCTAGTTTTTCTATCTACTTTCACAGCCATGAACCTCTTATCTAACATGCAGCCCTAGGAGTTTCTCACACCCTTACTGAAAGGGCTGACCAATACCAAATACTGATCATATCTTTATGTAAATAAAACATCAGCTAATTTCTTATTCTAATCAATATTTTTTGGTCAGGTCAATGTTGTGTTTCTAAAACAGCTCTCCTCCAAAAAAAATTATGATTTGAAGCATTTGGCAATTTCCATGGTGTAAATCCTCCCAGCACGACGAATTGTAAGCTCTCAAAGTCACTGAACACAGAGTTTGGAAGAGATGTGCACAGTTGTTCAAGTTGTTGCCACTCCATTACATCACTGGGGCATGCTAAGGCTTATGTTTTGATAGTGTAGAACAGGATAATTGACAACAGCAAAACCTACAAGCCAATGCAATAGAGGAAAAGTGGTTTGTCCTAGAGTGGATCACTATAATACACTTGACAAACATGATTCATCCAGAAAGTAAGTTAATGCCAGATTACTTGAGCAAAGTATTTCAGTGCTGTCTTTCTGTCCTTATTCTGTACTCTTCAGTTATACTTAGAAGATAAATCTTTCCCTAGCCTCTTGGGTTATAGGAAGGAAAGTCTCCCTAATCACTTCTCAATTGTTTGAATGTTTCCTTAACTGATATAGATATTTGCTCGTGGACATAATCCCCATGTTTATGAAAATATCTTCCTTTTCTCCCTCCTCTTTCCCTTCTCCCCTCCCTCCCTTCTTCCTTCCTTCTTTATAACCATCCTTCTTCCTTCAGAAGTATTTTTTTACCATTTTTTGTATTCCTAACATCCCTACAAAATCATCAGAACAGGTAATAGTACTTCTGCTTTGCAAAAAAAAATGGTAGAGAAGCGAGAAAATCATTCTAATTATATAAATCTCTACCATGTTATTACTTTCATTTTTAATTTGTCATTTTGTTATTTTGAAATCTTCATTGTTATTCAGACATCTCTTACTTTTTCTTCCATGAGTGGAGTGGTATACTTTCAACCTCTGACTACTTTTCTTTTGTGTTATAAATTTAATTTTATTCTCTCCCTCACAGTTTTTGAAAACTGTTTTATACTTTATCTAAGAAGTTGTATTACAGTATTGTAAATACATTTCTGAGAACTTTTAATTAAGTGATGATACCTAGCACTTTCTCATCATAGTTAAGTCCCTGGAGATGATAAAACAGAATCCTTTTGGGAAGTGGTTCTGTTCTCAACATCTCATCACTGGAGCAAGCAGAATTCTGTTACAGACTTTGAACTGTTAGGTTGATATCAGTGGATGATTATTGTCAACACAGTGGATTTATTTTAAAATCCAGGTTTTCTCACTAAAGACCTCTGAAAATTTTTCCAAAAGCCTAATGACAAACAAAAGAGAAAAAGGCATTTGAGATAACCAATTCGGCATCTGCCATGAAGCCCTCTGCAGACATGCTTGAGATCATCGCTTGTACCATCCTAATCTTTGTGAGCATCGTTGGAAACACTTGTCTGTTTTATTCTACAAGAAGATGTATCACTGGGCATTTACAGACATCCTTTCTTCTAGTTTTGAATCTTATATTTGTCAACCTTATTAAAAACTTGGTGGTAAATGTAATGAAAATTGTTTACTCTTCTGGTATCATGTTGGATTCAGCTGGCTGCAAAGTTCTGCTCTTCACATCGGCCCTAACAACTTCACTGACCATCTGGTTCGTGTTATATTTTTCATTGCTTTACCACTGGAAGCTTTACCAAATTGTGCACCCCTTGAGTGAGAATCCAAGCCTGGACCAACAGAAGCATTCCTTGAAGGTGGTTTCTGTACTTTGGGTGGCTGGTGTGGTGGTATACATCCCAGTTTTAATTCATACGAGAAAACGAGAATTCTTGAATGCGGGAAATGATACACATCCTTTGTCTACTAACAGGATGTACATGGATTGCCCAGTTGTCTTTCAAAATAAGCAGGTAGAGTTTTTCTATGGGAAAATTGTTTTGGTTCTGATTGATATTCTTCCTTTAGCTACTTTAGTCTTTGTCTGTTTCTGGATGTCTTTCCTCCTTTCGGAGAGAAAGAAGATGACATATGGTGACATCTGGATTGGAGATGATGATTCAGAAATTGAAAGCCTTAGAGGGGCCAAGTTCAGTATTTTATTAATGTTGCTGATCACTCCACTTTGGATTTCTCACTTTATCTTAGTCTGTTTCTTGAAAGACTTGGCAGCATGCATCTTTATTCCAGCTGTTCTCACAGCCCTCTCTTCAAGCTTCTCTGCTATCAGTCCTTTCTTGCTTATGTTGGTTAATTACAAAATGAAGTTGGTGTGCTTCTGCGGTGCCAAAGAGGAAAAACCCACACCACAGCCTACAAATGTTATTGTTTCTCCATATGCTTAATGGCAAAAAATTCAAGTTTAATTGTTGGAAAACAGACCCTGTCATTGGAGAGTACAGCTAAAGTTTTCATAGCTCTTATCAACAGTTTCTGAAAGGACCTCTAGAAAATTGACTCTTCTTCGAAAATAGACTTCAGAGAAAACTGTTCAAGAAAATATATGAACATTAAGCTATTGTAAGTTGAAAAAAACAGTCATCACAACATTAGTTATTTAGGACAATACCAAGAGTTCTAATATAAAAATTCTAAAGTAACTCAACAGTTTTCAGTCTGAAAATGAACTCATGTAAACGATATATTATTTATTCTGTGCAAGATATTGTGTTAAAAAAAAACAACATATTGATGAAACTGAAGATAATAATTCCTGGCTGAATTTTAAAGGTACACATAAATAATCTTATGTTTTTCTTGAAATGCTTTCACACATATTAGAAGTGTATTATGTAGGTGTACGGTGTTCAGTTTTTGCACTTTTAATAATAGTACCTCACCTATGATGGAAGCAGATTTTGTTCATTGTCTTTACCCCAAGTGTCTTTAGTAAGTTAGGACTAGATGAACGCATTGGATTAAGGAATTAGTACTTGCTAAGTCATACTCTTTATGTCTGTGTAGATGTGCAAATATTTGGTTGTTCAGACATTTAACTCACTATTCTTGCTTAATCATCTAAATATATGTTAAACTGTACTGTTTTTCTTCAGAAAAAATGACATTTATTTTATAGGAAATTTGTCTCCTTTAGGTTATCAAATTGGCACATTTACAGACTGGAAGAATTTATAAAACCTTCATAATAATTTGATCTCTGGATTTTGATTCAATAAAAATAAGCACATTATAATCTCACTAAAAATATATGGCTGGGTTTTTCTTTTTCCCAGTTAGCTGGTTTTGCTCTTTGGACTGCTTCCAATACAGTGAGTAATTATTTTCAATATCTTCACATACATTTGTGTAAGCATTGATTTTTAAGCGAATTCTTATTAGATTTTTGCTTTTTTTTTTTTTTTTCATTTTTCTTCTGTGCTAATAGACCTGGGATTTATTATACTGTTGGTCTAGTGAATGGATGTCCCCAAATTGAGATCCCAGTTTTAGAAGGCTGCATTGAAAACTATAAAACTAGACATCAATTAACAGAAGACACTAAGAACATCTTGTAGCCATGAAGTGTTATAGAGAAAGGAAATTTTAAAGTAACCAAGGCCCAAATTGTTTAGAGTTGTGTGTGCCAATGTCTGTCTTTTGTATAGCATAGCAAATTAAAAAAAAAAAAAAAAAGACTTAAGACCCTCTGAGATTGCTGGGTGGTCTTCATGGGAAATGCTTAGTTGAGTCCACTGAGGCAGTTTAATCAAAAGGGCACTAGGCATGAATCCTGTATAATGAAGTTAACATCTGGAGAGATGGGGCATGTGGGGAAGAGGTCACCATGTTTTAATTAAGTGCAGATGTAGCCAAAGCTGAGATTAGCCATTAAGCTTAGGTAGTGGTTCTAAAATGTGATTCTGGGACCAACAGAATCAGCATCACCTGGGAACTTATTACAAATGCAAATTGTTAGGCACCACCTCGACCTACTGAATCAGAAAGTCTGGGATTTGGACCCAGCAGTCTGTTTTAATAAGCCATCTGGGTGACTCTTATGTACTCTAAAGTTTGAGAATAACTCATCTAGGATTGCTTCAAAGTTTAATCCTCATGACAATGAGAATGAAGCCAAGACAACTGACTGAAGATGTAGTCTTCAATGATCCCATACATGCTGCTGTTGTGTCTGCTTCTCTCTAAAATGGCAATCAGGATTGTGATCTGTGTTCCCTATATATACTCAATAATAATTTCCAAACACATCCACTGTAGAAATTAAGTAATCTTTGCAAAATCAAAAATAAAGCATAACCATTTCAGGTGTGCCAAAAATTTGGAACTTGGATTTGGATAGTTTCCTGTACATAACTGAGTAAGGGATCCAGTTCCCAGATTATTCCATAGTTCCTTTCCAGAAGCCAGTGCAAGACATGGTTGGTTGGCTTAAGCCCATGCTTAACTTCCCAGTGCTAGAAATGTTTTATTTTTCTTCCCAGATATTTTCTTCTTATTTGGACCTCATTAGGTCATAGTTTTATCCTTGTTAAAAACACAATAAACAATTGTAGAATTGGTAAGTTTTCATTTACAACAGAGAATAAATCCTATGTTCACTGAATGAACAATATTACAGTTTTCTTTTGAGTTGGGGGGCTATCTATTCTTTGTTCACAATGCAGGATTCTGATCTTCTCTCAGAGGACTTCTATTTGAACAATTTCTTGCTGGGGTGGGTGTGATTTCAGAAAGCAGCCCATTCCATTAAAGCCCATTTGAAATACTATAATTGCAGAGTCTTTGCTGAGACTGACATCCCTGACATTTCCTCCAAGATTTACCCTTGAAGTTAAACCCTCCTTTTACCTGCTGGATCTTTAGATTCTCAGAGAGGAGAGCTTTTTTTCTCTTCACCAAGTTAGATATTTCCTTAACTGTTTTGCATAAGGCAGTTTCCCAACCACTGGCTCTCTTGGCTTCCCTACTCTGTCTTGGCATGTTCCAGATAACCTGTGGCTTTTTAAAGAAGCGGCACCCAGAACTGAACACAACATATTTTTTTCTTTGTGTATGTGTATGCGTATGCATGCGTGTTTGCATGTATTTTTTTTCTATTAGACATTATTTTATATTCTCTTGCACAGCTCCTGTGAGCATGGATTCTTTCATTCTTCCAAAAAGAATTTTAAATGTTCAACTCATTTTAAATCATATGCACAGATAGGGGCAGGGAGAAGACAGAGAGAGAAAGAGAGGTAGATATCAGATTTAAAAGTAGATAAATATGTGTATCTACCCTAGGCTTAAAAACTAAGGTCTCTCCAAACTCTCAAGTTCAGGTATACGTTAGTTTATTCTCAGTATTTGGGTTTCAGAAACCATGAAATGACCCCCAAATCACTTGCAATAATTTTAATGTATAAATTAAAGGGCAAAACTACAAAAAGACCAACACTTATAGGGATTTTTCAGAGAAATCCTGATCTCTAGAATCAAGTTTCTAAAGTAGTGCCAACTTCCTTGCCTTTTTAATAAGACATTAAAAAGGATGGTCATAATCTAATTTTCATTGAAGAAGAAGTTGAAGATTTAAACCAACTAGCTATGGAATATGTTGTGTTATAGACTAGTTGAGGGATGCCTGTGGGTAAGGTATGTTAGATACACAAAGATCTATATACTTTTTGTTAATGATGTTGATGATCTCTGCCATTTCTGTTTAAACTCTACTGGAAAGAAGAGTAATTCATCTGGAGTTAGGTTCATGAACATTCAAGCAATACAATTCAGGGCTAAGGATGCCTGTGGGATTCTGACCTAGATGGTTCAAAGACATACCCTTGATTCAGAGCAGTCCAGGGCAAGTCAGAAGAGCGCTAGACTGGTTAGCAGGAAATGATTTGCATTAGCTGGCTTTGCCTCTACTTAGTAGTGCAGAACCTTGGATGGACTATTTCTGAAGACCTACACAACTCTCCAGGGTATATGGTACAAGGGGAGACAAGAAGATACGCTATTACAATATCATGTGGTGCTGGCCAAGACAAATAAATACACAGCAGGCTGAGGCACCCAATCTACATGGACCCTGGAGCTAAGGGAAGTCAGCAGTAGTAGTGCAGAACCTTGGATGGACTATTTCTGAGGTTTACCATCTGTAAAATATAAAAGATATGATTGCAAATTACAAATTATGATGCATGCCCTCTGCCTCCATCACAGGCTGCAATAAATAAATTCAGCTAAAAAATATTGAAGGTGATTTTTGAAAATAAAATGTTTGACGCAGAGGCAGTGTTGCTTTACCATTGTAGTTTTGGCAAGTTGAAGTAGGAGAGAAAAATACCAGACTTAAAATCAGAAGCGCTGGCTGTGTGAATCTGAGGCAATTACAGAACCTCTGTGAGCTTTGGTTGCCTTATCTCCACAAAGGAAACTATAAAGATGTTTGTCTCCCAGCAGCTGTGTGAGAAAAAGTAAGCAAGTGTATGTAATAGCACCCAGTCCTAAATCTTGATACAGTTTTCTTCACAAATTTTTTTGTGAATGTTTCCTTCAGAACAGTGATGGAGAAATGCAGGCTCTCCTCTAGGAAATAGAGCAGGCTCAATATATTACATTAGTCCCTTGTTTGATATCAAACATTCTCTTGTATTTTTACAAACATGCCAGAAATTTGATATTTCAAGATGTGCTCTGTGCACACTCTGGCTTTGGAATTATTTCCATGACAATCCCTATTTATCACCCCACTTCACCCTCACCCTTCAAGACCCCTTTGTAGAAGCAAAAATACAGCAAGTGATGCTAAATCAATGTTATGCATCTTTCTGGACATTCTGCTCCATAATTCTCACTTCTAGGCCTATTCCCATACTAAAAGCACAGACAACTGGAGCACTTCCTCCTGCCCCAAAACTCCCTCCCCATTTACACCTTCATCCTTCGGCTTTCAGCTTTGCCATGCTGACTTCCCTTCTCTCCAGGGCCCATCTAGATTGGGTGCCTCAGCCTGCTGTGTATTTATTTGTCTTGGCCAGCACCACATGATATTGTAATAGCATGCCTTCTTGTTTGTCTCCCCTGGTACCATATACCCCAGGAGAGTAGTATAGGTCTTATCCAGCACATGCATCCAGAATATTCCACAAATGAAGAAGTGAATAAAGTCCACAGGGCTTGTGCTTTTTCTTTGTTCGTGTGTATTTCTTGGCTCTCCTTCAGTTGCCTCTTCCCAGTAGAAATTTCTTGCCTCTATCATTTTTCTGCTTCAAGATGAGGCATTTACTGACTGCCATGCTTCTGGCCACTGTTGAATCAAGGAGTGAAAGAAACCTAATCCAACATTTGGAATGAGTTGCTTCCTTGCCAGCCAAGCTACAGAGCCAACTGGGGACAACGTTTCTACCCAGACCTTTCAGTACTTTGTGATTATTTTGAGTTTTTATATTGAAGAAAGTAAGCACAATATCAGTGTATCAGTGCCCAGGCTTTCAAATTGAAAATTTTTCCCAGTACAAATTTGGCAGGCGTGTGTGTGTGTGTGTGTGTGTGTGTGTGTGTGTGTGTAGGGGTGCAGGGAACGGCTGTGTTTTCCCAAGTGCTGATAGATTAAAGAGAAAAGAAATAAGTTGTAATGCAAACCCATTGAAGTTACCTCATCACCGAATGTACTATGCTCATTTATTTTGACAAGTCCAACTTATTTTTAATTAGCAGGCCTCCTAGTATACTGGTAAATGGAGCAATAGTGACTTTGGCAGAAAGGGAGAAATCTGTGTAACATGAGCCTTCAGAATGAGTTCAAGCTGACTCCTTGTAAAATGGAGTGAGGCAATACATTTTTAAAAATTTTTCAGTAGAGCAATTTATGTGATATGTGACTGTAGTCACAAATCAATGGGCCTTTTATGAGCCAAGCACACCCGAATGTGTACCCTAAAATGAGTGTAGTTTCTCAAGGAAATTTTGTTGGCCACTATAAGCTTTTTCCAGTGATGCTGCCATTATGTAACAGATTTTTGGAAGTCTTCATTTGGAATTATTTTCAAAGTCAGTTTTCGAGTCACGACAAAAAAATTAAAAATATCACCTGAGACTCATAATACTGGGGTGGCAAGGAGGCTATTTTTTAAATTACTTGTCTATTTTTGTATTATGCAATTTGGTTCTCAGTTACTTTGAGCTCTCTCCGAAAAGGAAACTTCCATGGAAGGAAGCAGTTGGGCCATCACTGAGGTCACTCATGAGAAGGTGACATGGTGTTGATAGACCCATTATGGGCATAAGCCCCTCACACACACTTTAATAGGCACTAGAGGGACTTCTGTTCTTGGCAGTTTATCAAAAGTCTGTGAGAGAAGGAAAAGTCCTACAAATATTGTGTATAGTTGATGCTGTTTGTTTTGTTCTTTATCTCTTAAAGCTGGGCATCAGTTTGGAATTTGAGTAAGGTTTCTCCCAGTGCCATGGGCACATCCAAAGAAGAGAGCCAAGCTGTCATCAGCAGCTTCTGCACAGCATATAGTTCTCAGCAGCCTGGCCCTGTGTCCCCCCATTCTAATCTGTTTCTTCTTTCCCTCTCTATCAATTTTCCTAACCAAATTGGGAGAGCTAAACCATTGAAAAATGCTTCCTTCACCTTTCTCTATTCACCCTCCCTTGCATCTCACCTCTCCCCACTTCAAAAAAACAGTGTAAACACATAACACACCTGCCTAGATAAATAACAAATTAAAAATTGTTTAAAAGAAATAAGATGATTTTAATCAGTGGACAATACTTATGGTGGATAGATCTTGAAAGAGGTGTGCTTTGAGAAGAGGGGCTTACATGCAGAAGAAAACCCCCGGGAGACCTTAGAAAACCTGGGAACAAGTGATTGTAGCTTGTAGAGTCAAGGTGGATGGCACAGGGGAGAAGTTCAGATTCACAAATGACTGAGTCTTGAGATCTAAAAGGGGCCTAATGCCAACCATAAGCATAGTTATAAAAATCCTACATAAAGGATTTTAAGCTGGCCTGTCCTTTCTGGAAAGCCTAAAAAATATATTTTGCTTAGGTATAAACCCACTCTTGTTGGTCTGAGTTGGGTTTGCTCTCTTGCCTCCAAGATGCTGGTCTGGGCTAGACAGAGGATGGCTTCAGGACTTTTTCTGGGTTTGCGCTTGGCACAGCTTCACCCCTTCCTTTGGAGTCACAGCAGAGAAGTGTCACCATGTAAATCCACACTAATCACAACAAAGAAGAACCCTTCCTTCCTCCAGTTGTAAAGTGAAGGAAACATAATCCCCACCTCGTAACATTTTATGTTTGTGAAGGTTTTTTTTCCTGGTACTAAGAGATAAAGTGGACATTCCGTGAAAGCACAAATGGTGATGTGCCAGTAGTTTATTTGTAAGAAATTTTATTTTGTTACTGTTGTGTTATGAGAATTTAAAACAAATTTTAGAATACAAATGAAGTCAACATTTTTGGCAGGAGGCACCAATACAAAATTGGGGGTCATGGTGGTGCTTATTGTTCAATGCCGAATTCCTTTGAAGGGCCAAACACTCAAATGTCCCCACGGTATGTTGATGAGTAGAGTCCCCTCGGAGGGGCTCCAGGGAACTGGGGAGCACAGGCCCCAGGGACAGGTAGGAGCAGCTGCGGCTCAGCTCTAGGCGGTTGTTTGTTGCCATGGGGACTGCAGACCCCTGTTGCCAGAGCTTCAGGTATTTAAAACAAAGCCAGAAATCCAGAATTTTATGTGAAATCACCCAAGGTCTGCAAGTTGGCAACTGATTCAATTTTTTTTTTTTTTAACACTGCTGGGGTCAAACAAATCACATCTGTTGGCCAGATTCAGCTCACAGGGCTCCAACGCATGCCCTCTGTAGCTGTGCTTTCTGTTAAAGCACACTTGTCATGGGTCTGAAAGGAGGCTTACTGGTTTCCATAGTGGACTGGTGTGTGGAATGGGAGGTGTCAGAAGAGCAGGGTGAGAAAAGCGACCACAGTTCACCTCAGTGTCCTTATCATGTTTGATTATTTGTAGCAGCTACTCTAACCTGACCTTATTGACTCCCATCTTGTCCCTGATTTCTTAGAAGAGAGTGCCTGAGAGTGTCAGGGGCTTGGTGGAAGGGCAGATGAAAGAACAGGAGGCATTGTATTGGCCCCTGGGACAACTGCAGACTCACTCTTACCTGTAAAGAAGCAGTTAATGTTGGGCATATAGCCAGGATTCAAAAACCACAGGGATTTCTGCACATTATAATTGAGAATGTAAATACTCTCAAAGTGGCACCCTGAAAAAGACAAGCATTGAAACCAGACAAAAGAAATTGGGTCGTAAACAGAATGAGACATCTTAAAGGAGATAGTATATGGAGGCCTGCTGGGAAATAGAGGCAAACTCCAAATGCCTAGGAGGCGTAGTCTAAGGTGGGATCATCCAACCTACAGAAATAAACATGAGCAGTGTCTCAAGACTTCCTATAATGAGCTGTCCCTGTTGTAAGTCTTGTGTTCTTGCCTATAGAATCAAGAACCTCACTACCATCCTGCAAGTGCAAATAGAAAGATTTCTGCTTTAATGTTACGAGTTATTATCTGCTGGTTATGTTCTATTGGAATGGCTACACTCAACTGGATACTGCTCTCTATATTGTCGGAGCATCTCAAACAGAGGTGCAGTGGTTATTTGTTAATTTGCTTAATTAAGACATATTCACCTACGTTTTATAGTTTCATTTATTTAAAGTTCCGTTTGGCTCCCAGCTCCAGTGCATGTTTTTCTGCTTCATCTTCCCCTATTTCCATGTTCCTGCTGATGCTGTGTTTGTACCATATCCTGACACCCAGAATGATCTTTGTGTTGTTCACCAAGGCCATGGGAACAGAGTCTGTAAATCAATAGTTCATCACGGAGCACACATTTAGTGAAAAGAAATTGGTTTGGTAGAAAGTCTCCTAGTGAACACGCTAGAATCCAAAGAGTCTGGATTGTCTCAGAATCCATCATAATGGAAGAGAAAGTTGTTTTGAGTAATTTTTTAGCAGAGTACGTATATTTTCCTCTGAAAAGCTTTGTGAATTAGAAGATTAGTGATGTTTTTATACCAAGCAATTTGCTTGATAACCTATTTTTAAATTTCTACAAATAATACAATTTCTGATATTAAATTTTTTTTTACAAATAGTATTCTTTTTATTGTATGCCTTACTGTGATTTCAGAAGAATTTTTAACATTTGCTAAATGGATAATTTCATTTAAACATGGAAGTAACATCTTAATCCTTCCTTGGATAGACTCTGTATCTACTGTAATTAAGACTGTAAAAATGTTATATACATACAGGGAAAAAAAGGAGTGGAAATAGGAAAATTAAACAAGGTCATGGGTTTGAGGTAAGGGATGGCAAGTTTTTTTTTCTGTTTATCATAATTATATCGTTTGTAGAGCTTAAAAAAAAAGAATGGCTCAAAATGCGGGAAAAAAGCCTCTTTTTTTAAAAAAAATCTTTTTAAAAAATCGTCTTTTAAAAAGTAGATCTCTTTACACTTTCAATCTTACATTGGGAAGCCTATTCTCATCAGCCTAAATGTATTTTCACTTTCCAGTAATGTACTCCTTGCTGTTCAGCAAGGTACACCTTGGTTAGAGAATCAGAGGGCAAAATGAATTATTTCAGATACTCAAATCTGGGTACATAAGATAATTTATACAATAGGAAAGACAAATTGCAGGAAACAGAAGCTCATTTTGCTCTCTGAGAGCTGCCTCTGCAGAAGATAACTGCAAACCAAGGCGCCGTCAGGAGATCTATATTTCTGCCCTTGACATCTGTAGGTGCCGCTGCCACCGCCGATAGGAGCGATGATAAGTGATGGGAAAATGAAGTGGGAGGTGATGTATCTCACCGTGACAGATTTAAAGGATTGCCCCAGGCAGCCTTGATGCAAGAGCTGACTGAAGACGTTCTGGGGACTGCATCAGGTCACTCTGGCACAGTCAGGCAAAGCTATTTGAGGCAGAGGGCAATGCAATAACTCTGAGGTTTAGATCTGCACTTAGATCCTCTTTCTTTCTTCCTTTTTTTTTTGTGAGGTGAATTGGAGGTTGTGCTACAAATTCTAAAATATCCATTACTCTTGGTTAGTGTTATCTGTCTTGTGTTATTCTCCTGTGGAGATCCGGTATTCATTGCTCCATGTACAACACCTAAGGATATGCCTACAGGAAACATTTGAAAATGACTTTCCTAAAATTTCCAGGCTGGCTCCCCATTTCCAAAAGAGTGGCCTTTCACCCTGGCTATGATAAGAGTCAGTGTGAATTCTAATGTTGATTCTAGGGGGAGATTCTGACCCAAGTTACTGCTCTGGCAAAGACAGGCACAAACCAAGTAAAGCGAAGGACTTTGGGTGCCCACAGGGGAGCCACCCTGGGGACCATGGAGGTGCTGTGCTTGCTGCTTCTGGAAAGCCAGGCTACAGACAGTTGAAGGGTGGAAATGTGCTCCAGGGCAACCCTAGCACCCACTATCCCTTCTCATTTTATTTGTTTAAATATAAACATTATTTTTGGTTGTAAAACAGCTTTTTTTGCCTTTCTTTTCTGCTTCTGTCTCATTCAGGAATTTATAAGCATTTGACCATACTCAAAATGTGCAAGGAAGAATAATGGAAGCCCCTGAATACCTTGATTTGGATGAAATTGACTTTAGTGATGACATATCTGTAAGTATTCCTGTATGCAAGAAATGCTTTCAAGATACTCTGCCTTCAACTTCAGTCTACTTTCTCCATTTTGGTCTGTGTATCCTCGACTCTTCTGACTACATTTAGAAATTGACAGCAGAAATCCTGTGTGGCAGACTCGGTGTGATTTCGGAGGGTCTCTTAGACCAAGAAGTGAATCTCACCTGAGTGTGTGAGTTTTGGAAGACGAGACATTTAACTTCACTGAGCCTTTCATTCCTAATGTGTTCTAATGTTGTAAAAATTATTGATTGAGTATACTTATAAAATGTCTGCATATAGTAGGCACTTTCATAGAGTTAATTCCAAATTCTCTTATGTGGCTGGCTGTTCCACAGCCAGAATTTTCTAGAGTTCACAGGGACACTGACTAAAGAAAAGCCAGGTTGGAATTTATTAATTGATCAACAATAAAAGGAGTCCTTTCAATTGCCATAGGTACCAAAGAACAGATTGTAAGCTTGTTTGGAATATTAAGGAAAATTCACTCATTGATAAGACCTGTACTAGCTGACCTTTGAGGTCCTGGTTAATCCTGTAATGCTGTGGGCTGATGAGTCTCTTCGTTCCCATAACAGCCACAGACTTCCTGCTGCTTAACTCAGGGCTGCTCGGAATGAATTGTCTACGTGCATCTTGCCTTGAGCTGCTTGTGCCTTATCTGGGACCGCATAATCAATTCTGCTACACCAGCAAGCATGTTGGCCTCAAGTGCCCCAGCAAAATTGGTTGACTCTCACAGTATGTGATGAGAAAGTTGCTGTTTCTGAGCTAGCCATGTAATTTTTCTTTCCAGGACCTTCAGGTTCACAACTTCTAACCTTATCTTCCATGGATCTCTCAGGGCCTGGAGCTTTGGGTCACCACTCAAAGTTACCACTTTAAAATTGTCTCAAAAGGATGAACATACTTTATCATGCCTCTAGTAGTGGTATATTCATCTACTTTACTCCTTACCTTGAAGTAAAATATGCATAATGTACACAAGAATTGGATTACTGGGATGAGCTTGATAAATCACCTGTTTTATACAACCTTGGATGAGTCTTTATTGTACCAGAGAAATTTGAATTCAGCATTTGCCTGTTTCTGCTTCAAGACAATTTTTATTAGTCCTCATTAAGACCAATGTGAAGTGATGTGAAGTGAGCTTCTTCCTTCCCATGATATCTCTCTGTCTCCCCTCGCCCACCCTTTCTAAGTCACTGTGCTTGACTAGGAAGTATTCAAAGCAAGGTTCTTTTATGATAACTCCCCTCAAAGTATTTTGAGCATTGTGGGAAGAAGCAAGGAATGTGAATGATAGCATGAGTGTGTGTAGGTAAGATGAAAGGTGTTATAGAAAGGAAAACTGTGTTATAATTGGGAGTTGGATGGTAGCTCTCTGAGCTTTGATAATAATGTTGTGCTTTAAAAGCAAAGGCTTTGAAAGAAGCCAGTCGGGGCTCCTACCTTGTTCTGACCTTTACTGGCTGAATAGCACATTAACCTCACCTTTCTGAGATACACTTAAGGTTGTTTTGAAGATTAAGTAAAATAATAATATATGTGAAACACTTAGCTTGGCACACAGTAAGTTGCTCTTAAAAATGGTAGCTTTTGTTATTATTTCAATGAATAATACAATAATATTTATATGACCAATAGTGAAGAAAGAACTCAAGGGAAAAGACTAGGCATAAAGTCAAGATTTTTTTTTTAATACAACTGAGCAGTTGTATTTACAGAAGAATCATCTGGCAGCAGCCCATAATTTTGATGAATTAGGAATCTTTACTTGAAAGATAATAAAATACATTAAGCAATAACTGAAACCATTTAGCAAACTAGGCTACAGGATTATGCAATAGTTGAGTGTCTATAACTTGACCATTCTAAAACATAAACAAAGATATCCATCTGTAATTGTGTAACTGCTCCCAAAATTTCCCTCCTAAATGTGTTTCTATTGTTTGGTTCTTTAACCTGCATTTAAAATTATATCAGATTTTGAAACTGCATAGAATTGAAATTCTGTGAAATTTCATAGAATTGATGAAACAATAATAATAATAGCTAACATTTATTGAACATTTTACCATGGGGCATGCCTTACCTTGGTTAATCCTCACAGCAGTTTTTTAAGGTTACTGTTACTATCTTCAATTTACAGATGAGGAAACTGTAGCATGACGATTTGATATAATTTGTCCAGGGTCACCCAATTGGTTAGGAGTACTCTGTGTCCAGAGTATTTACTTTTAGCCACAACATTTTACTGCTTCTCCAGGATAAATATAGTTTATGGTTCACATCAGGGGCAATTTTATCTGCTCCATCCCTACCCCAGAAACATTTAATAATACCAGGAGACATATTTTGTTGTCATACTGAGGAGATACTACTAGCATCTAGTGGGTAGAGACCAGAGGCTTCCAAACATCCTGCAATGCACAGCACAATCCCCTGCAATAAGAATCGTCTAGCCCAAAATGTCAATAGTACTGAGCATAAGAAATCTTAGCCTATTTAAATCCCCTTGAAGCTGAAGAAGCTCTGCTTTGGCAATGTCTACAACATAGATTATTTTGTCATAATTTAGTATGATCCAGACTTCATACCTTAATGAAGCCAGAATCATATTGTTCTTAATGATTATGTGGGAAAAGAACTGGAGATAACCTCTTAACTACTGAAATAATTGTTCTCAGGCTATTTAGGTAAACTAAGAACAATGAGTGTTATAGTTTCTTTAAGAGCTAAATGGAGATTATTCAAATGCTAAAATTGAAAAGTGAAGATGTGTTTAACATACTAATTCACTGGCATAAAAAGAAATGTAGTTTCCCGTGAACATGCTTTTTTTTTTTTTGAATTCCATAAACCTCCATCTCTGACAGCCCTCAAGCCTCTTTCCTTGTTAAGTGGCAGGAGGGGGAGGAAACTGCACATTACATCTGAAAAAGATGTTTATGAAAAAGATGCTCAAGTTTAAAGCTCTCCTCCTTACTCTCCAGCTATAGCCCTATTACGTAGTCTAGGCTTTCTGTTCCATGGTTTTTCCCTCTGGTCATGAGCTTGGTTCTTGTTTTAATTAAAACACAAGATGTATATTGGTAGAAAAAAACAACTAGAACTTTTTTTGCCTGTATTTAGTGAGAGAAAACACAGCAACTAATTTATTTTGAAATTTCCCAGACTAGAAAATAATGCACATCCTTCACAAAACACAAAGTTTAAACTATGCATTCTTGTAATCCTGCCATCTAAAAGGGCAGAACATTCTGCAATAGCGGCAGGTCTGCAAGGGAGAGATGATGAAACATAAGCACAAAGGTTGAAAGCACGGTTTTTCTGTCACTATGAATGGGTTCACAGATTTCTCTCTATTCCTATGGAAGCCAGATCGCTGTATCTTAAAAACGAAAACGCTCTGGAATTCTTTGGAGCCATGGTGTCTTTATTTTACTAATGGAGGCCAGTATGGTGCTCTTAAAACTAGTTTCACACATGGTACTAAATAAAGCAGACACTGAACTCTGGATTTCCTGAAGAGCTCGCTCAGCCACCATCTACCCATTGGCTGTGCCACACACTAAGATAAACTCTTGAAGTAAGTTATCTTGTTCAGGCCTCACACATCAGCTTTGCGAGACAAGCTCTGTTTTTAGTCCTTTTGGCAGATGAGAAAATTGGTGCTTAGAGAGCTTGTCTGACATTCACAAGGTTTTAGAGCCAGGACTTAAATCAGTACTATGTGGCCACTTTATTCCTCCCTATCTAAGCAACATAGCTTAGTAGAAATTTCTCTAGACAAGTCATCTCACCCATTACTATCCCTGATGGGAACTGCAGCGATTACAAATTGTTTTCTGGAAGTAAAGGAATTGATAGACATTATAAATAAGTAAAATGAAACCAGTGAATGAGAATTTAAGCAAATCCTTTAATTTTACTGTACCTCACATTCCCATCTTTTAAATAACAAGATCTCAAAGATCTCAACTTATGACCCTGGATTTTATGAAGAAAACATGACAATTTATATATATGTATTGATCGTGTAAACATACACATATACATAAACACATATGTACACATAAGTATATACATACACTCGTATAGGTACATAGCTACATATATACACATACACGTAAATATTTACACATGCATATACATAGGTACACATACAAATAGAAGTAAGAGAAATATTCTGTTGCCTTTCTGTGTTACTCTGACTGCAACTTTGATGGAAGTTGACTTTTTTGGCAATTGCATAAACAATTTTTTTGAGCAGGTCAAATGAAATCAAGATAATACCCTTCCACTTTTCAATCCTCTTTGGTCAAAGCCTTTGCAACCTAGAGTAATAGAACAAAATTAAGTGGGTTCATTTTCCTAAGGTGCTTGAACCACTGTCTGATAGAAAAATTATTCTTATGGTAAACTAATCTCACTTTCAGTGAGTTTTTATATTTTTCTCTCACACAGACTGTGTAGCATTTTTACTAAAAACGCCCACCCCCTTCTGTTTTGTGTGCATTCCTTTTACTCAATTCAATCCCCTGATGCTTCCCCAGATTTTGTTACATTTTGAGAAGGACTCATTTCAAGTAGATCAGGCAATGAGCTGGCATGGGAAAAGAATATAGCTTAGCTGTGAAAAAGAGTATAAAGGTATTCAAGGTACAAAGAACCTGGCTTGCCTTTCTCTCTAGCAAGGAATCTACTAAGATGGACCCTCTTGTACTTCTTCTGTACCTTCTAGAAGGTGACCAACCCTTTCATGTGACCTCTGAGTGGCTCAATCCCTTCTTCACTGTCTCTGTCTATAAGCCCTGCCCTTCCCAGCAGTCACCTCTTATTCACATGGAAACCTTGCTTAGTGCTTCTCAGTGTGATCTAGTTTCAGCAACTGTCCAGAATACTTCAGCTTTATGCAGTGTTTTTTTTTTTGTAATATCCTGCATTTCAAGTCTAAATTGCCTCTCATTCTTCCC